GACCACTGAGCCATCGGCGACTTCAATCATCGATCAAAAATCCAAACAAAAGATACCTCAATTTATAGAAATAAGAGAAGGCACGATTCGTTAAGAAAATTTTAAATGTATTCGAGCATTACCATCTTGTCTATGGTCTTGTTGTCTTTGTCTTTCCCTACTTGTTGTAAGTATGCTTCTGTCCTTATCACACACATAACATCTAAGGCCATAACTTAATTCAACACGAGTATGCAATTTTTGTTTGTAAGCTAATTCCAATTTTCTTTTGCAATATTGGCTATCTTTTTTACTTTGATAAAAATCTCTTTGAACAACATGAAAATACTTTGTTAGTCATCGTATTTTAATGTACTAAAGTTTAAGAACAGGCTTTTGGATTTGTGAATATTTATATATTGCGTTTTTTATTTTTGGCATTGTTATATTTACCTGTATGTTTTGAGTTCGTTACATTATTTTATTTGGTGTTTAAGGGTCTTGTTCACGATTGTCAAAGATAAATAAACATTTTTATATATTCAAGCGTTTCGCTTCGGTATTTATTGTGAGATTTCCGCACTAACGTCGCACCTCGCGATGACCTAGAGCGCGACGTTTTAACGCACCAAGGGACTTGCCATTCAGAACGCAATCCGACACCGGAACTATTCTATTGTGCATTAACTACGTAGGTAAATGACGTCATTATAGTTAACTTTTTAATTTCAAAAACATCGCACATTTTACTAATGTTTACATGCGAAATGTTTGTCAGAAGGTGTCTCTAGAGGGGTTCCGAATCTCGAAATAAAATTTGGCATAAATATAGAATATAGCTTAGAAAAATACACATGCATCTCTTTTAATTCTGCACGGACAAAGTCGCTGGCAAAAAGTAGTCTATAAATAAGTAAGTATAACAAATAAAAGAACGAGAAGGCGACATAAGATCTGTTTAGTATGAACTAAATGGCCACAGTTGAAACTGACCATTTAAGATTAGTACTTGTAATCATAGTTGTTAAATGACATCATATTTCAGGTTTTATGGCCATTGTTAAAACGCAAACAACTTCGCATGGCTGCGGACACAAGATTGTTTTTTATTTAAATGCACCTATGACAATAATGGCTCACTCGATAACACAAATACCGTTCTGTTAAACTAACTTTACATTGTAAGTGTGGATTTTTACTGACACATTTTTTAAAGAATAAAGACAATGTACACGTATTAAAGATAAAAAGAATAAACAAAGAGGTTGCTATTAAAACTATCTATACAAATAAAAAAAAGTTGTTTAAAAGAGGATAAAATTCAGGAAAAGTGGAGATTGTGGTTGGAGGCCAAGGCCTACTTCGGGTCGTTGTGTCACCCTAGTTAGTTAAAAGAGCATAAACACAGACCCAGATTTACTTCCTCTACACCATTGGACAATGAATAAATTTAAGTAAAAACTATAAATAAAGATTTATATCAAATGCAGCAACAATAAACATGCTATCAACCAAAAGTACATGACCTTTTGTTAATAAAAAGGTCTGGAAACTTTGGGTCAATGCTCTGAAAATTATGTCTCACCTTTGACCATAAGGCAAAGGTGACCTTTCAATACCTTTGGTTAATCAATATGACACGGGCTCACCTTATTTTGCCCCTCATTACTTAAGTCTGCTACACACCTTCAACATGGTGGGTAAAACTGAAAACTGTACAGTTTTATTGATGTTTATAATTTTACCTGTACACATCAGTTTTGATTGTACAGTTCAGTTAAAGCCGAAGGTGTGTAACAGGCTTTAATGAACACTAAAAAGATGTTTTTAAACCAGTGATTCTTAAAGTGTTCTAGGTGGACACTAGCTTCAAGTTATGGAATAATATTGAAGTTCCAGAAGTTTATATAGAAATGTAAATTCCAAAAACCATTAAAAATGTTGAAAGAGGTCTAAAATAAAAATGTTTGGGAACTCTCTTTGACTGTAGTAATTAGTTGGTAATATGAATATGTATTACTACTATACAATGTTTACATATAATGTAACGCGTCACCTTGTGTGCCTATTTATAAACGAACAAACGTTTGAATTATTTAAATGAGGGGACAAATACTTTGCCAGTCCAGTACGACTCAGATGTCGCCATTTATGGTAATTTAGTATCATTAGCATAAATATTTTTTAATATAATCTATGTCATTAATTTAATGATTAACACAAGGTTTTATAGTTAGAAAATGTTTTAAAGAAATACTATTATTATAAAGACCGAGAGTATGAGAATATAAGATTTTATTTTGATATTTTAGCAATGTTCTCGAACTCATTCCAAAAAGGTGCTAATTTAATGAATTGTTAGGATAGTCCTCTAATATAGCTTCGAAATTTCTTTCCTATCATATGAAAACTTTTAAAGACGATCAATTTACGATTCGTAACATCACACATTATGCAAACATTGACATCGTAAATAGAAAGTGTAGCCAGTATTATTGTTTCATTGTAACAGATTTTTTTTTTATTCATTTAATATCGTGATTGAAGGCAATAATAATTATTGGCAGAGATATGCACATTTCACAGATACATCTAAGATATAAAAAGTTGTAATGAAGAAAAAACTCAGTTAATTTGTAGTAGTAGAATGATTCATGAAATAAATAACAGACTTAAGACATAAAGCTGAATACACAAAGTGCTAATTCAATAATTAGTCAGATATATTTAAATTTGTATTAAATAAATTTTACACGCAATTTTAAGGCAAACAAGAGTTCCGACTAAATGCGTCAGAAAGACTGAAAAAAAGGTTAGTAACACCTGGAACACTAGTTTGTAGGCAGATGCCTCAGATTGTATTTGGTACAGTCCTTACACATGTCTTGCTTTTTCGATATTCATATACATGTAAATCAGTTTCAAAATTGATAATCCAAAATGGGATATTAAAGAGAAATCATTAGACAAGGAAGTAAATGGCAATAATACTATTTCCTGCAACAACTGTACATATAGTAAACTTGCATTTGCAAGCACTCAACCATAAAACTGTCCATTGTGAATAAAAAGGATTGGCAAAATGTTCTAAGTATAAAATAGTTATGAACAGTATTTCGTCTATCTGTTCCATGAACCATCGATGACATCAAATATTCTCAACATTCTTATGGAAAAAGAAAACTTTGAGTGCATTGTATGATATCAACTAATCAGCACTAGGCCAGCATGGTAAAATTGTCATAAGACACAAAGATTTTAAAACAGAAATTAAAACATACTTTTGACAAATAACCTTGCCAGACTAAAAGCTAAATGTTTGTTATTTTTGTTGATAAATATTTTCTTATGTCTTATAGTGTTTTGTGACTAATTCAAAGAAACATATGCTCTACATTATTGTCACCTATGAATCACAATCTCTGATAAGACTTATCAGTCAGTTAATACTATTGACTATTTATGTTAACCTAATGTGTAAACTAAACTATAGATAAGAAATAATTTTCCAATTAACTTTTACAATTTTTTATTATAAATGTTGTCATCTGTTGCTAATCAAAATATATTTTTCATATGTAGTTACTAAAAATATTATAATCCAAAACCAAACCTTTTTCAACATTTGTTTGTTAGAAAAAATAAATTTTCTTCATAAAAAAAGTGTAAATGGTCAATTCAATAGTGTACAATGTATTAAAATTTTGTGTGTGTTAAATTTGTAAAATCTTACATATTCCTTAGTAACAAATAGAAATATTTATACTTATATTTTCTCTACTACATAATTAAGATTTATTATATTCATAAACAAATGAATGTTGTTCAAGATGGTGTTTCTTTTCTGAACATAGGAATGTATCAACAATGCTTTTATAGAAAACAAAAGACGAACGCTGGTTTACGACTGATGTAATTATTTGAATCAAATTAAGTATTAAAAAGTTAATTAGTTTTCATATTGAAGTGCCACATCTATTAAAATTACTTATTACTACATTTTACATTTTTGTTAAAATTAAACAACCAAAAGGTGTGTTTGAGAGAGGAATGTGTTTTGAAATTTAATATAGCAAATTATAAATGCATTCAAGGTTAAAGGAACAGTGTAGAGTCACAAGTTGTCTTTTAAAATATTAATTGAAGGTCACAGAAACCCTAAAATAAGCAGCCTCTTTACTGTGTAACATGCGTTATAATATAATTATAGTAACCAAACACCACAGGTGTTTCAAAAAATATGCAAGCAGAAAATACTGACCGTATAAAAGTACAGTGCTCACAAATTTGACGAATGTCTACAAAATACAACATAAAACACTTTCACTTTACATAAAAAAGTTTTGATAAAAATATTCTAAACACTTGATAATATTTACATTAATGCAATATTTACAAATACACCACTTTCTACTGTACTCACCCTGCCAAACACTTGTAAAAACTATAGAGTAAAGCAGAATATAGATCGAAGTGTTGGTATAGATAACTTGGTGTTGTCATTAAATTCCCAAATAAAAAGGAAACCAGAAATCATCCTCATTTTAAATAAAAAAAAACATGATTTAGCATTTCTTATTAAATAGATTTAAGGAGAGTAACGAAAAACGGAAAAGGCAAATGTTTTATGTGTTTACCTGTTTTGAGCAATTTTATTTAAAAATCAGACTCGGTTGTCTATGAACAAAATGTTACCATCAAGAATAATCTCCCTGTAAAAATGTAAATTATTGATGAAGTTTTTTAATTTAATATTTTGAGATCTTTGCAATTGTCTTATTTCAAATTTAATTCAACTCAAGTTTATATGAAAAATTGATTTTCTCTTTAAATTCATAGTTTTATAACACACTTAAAATTTAGATGGAAAAAGGTGCACGTCTTTTATCGTAACATTATTACGATTTATATTAGTTAGCCAGCCGTAAAAAAATCAAATAAAGTTTTTTTATATTCCTGCAAAAAAAAACAAAAGAACTGGCAACATTCACATTGCCGATTTCAGCTGGGCACAACACAATATACAGTTCATATCATAGCTCTGTAGGAGCTAATACGAAAGCTGTATTGAATCATTGCTCAGAAACTTACGTACGTGGGCGGCAACAAAACATTGTGTTCCATGTGCGCGTTTATTTACAAGTAGTAATATCCTTAATATTGACTGGAATACGGTGATTTATAACGTTTTAAATAAAAGTATAAATAATTTGCGGAAACCATAAGTGAAATATTTGAGAAACTCTGAAACATTAATTTATTGACTGTGAAAAAGGTTTATATTTTTGTGAGGAAAATGACTGCGTCCACAATGATTGAATTGGAGTCTTGGATTATCTACCAATGCGTGCTGAATGAATGCCATGTATCCAGTAGCTGTATGTATATTTAAATGTTAATATTTATAACAATTATTACGTATTAGTTACTAATAAATATTATTAACATAGTTTTCATTAAAATTTCAATAATTTTAATTGAAATCATATAAAACTGAATATCCAATTGGAAAATTAAGGCTGTAAACATCTAGGTTCTTTATGAAAATTTGAAAATACATCTAATAAACTGATCGTATATGCAGTACAGGGCAACTGTTGTTATGTGGTGCGAAGTTTCATTCACAATTTATCAGCTAAGTGGTCCGACGGTATGTTTTAATTAACATTAATTGGTGAATGTTCGTTAACAACACGCTCTGTGCACTCCATTGGCTGGTGTTTATTTACAGTAGGTAGAATAAAATCTTTTAAAATCGAAAGAATTCAAACATTTTGCGTCCATTCCCGGAATGCCTATACGATAAAATATTAGGCTCTATAGAATTTGTTCAATTCAGAGTTTAGTAGGAAGTTTAGAAAATTGGTATACAATAATTATGGTAGAATTATAGATGCAGTTTTTTTTCTGCTGCTAAGGTTTTGACGTCGTCATTTGTCCGAGACATCGGATATATATTGTCTGCCAAGGAGTTGTAATTCAGAAAATATTGTTGAAGACGGCCTAGGTGGTGAGAAATCACTGCAGATTGCGCTACGCCTAGTGATAACGCAAGGCATAACAGACGAAAAATTTCTTAAGTACCCACGAATTGTTTGCCAGTGGTGGTCGTTTCCACGTAATGGTATGGGAAAAAAAGGCGTGTGATAAAAGAAATTCAAAGTATGGATGGATTGTCTAAAAAGTTAATGATTGAATAATTAGTATACTAAGCTGATCCTTAATACTGAAAAGGCATGGAGTTGATAATGATGATTAATATGTACAGTTAACTTCGATAAAATCCTCAACCTCATTTTGGAACATAATTTTCAGAACGTTATTGATTTTTGTGTTTTCTTATTAATTTAATTTAATGTCCATTCTTTATTTCATTTGATTTGTAGTGCAGATTAAGTTTCTTGAACACATTTTTTATTGTGCCAGTCTGATGAAAATTTCAGTATTGTTAGCAAAAAGAAAATAACATTTCGCGTCTACACGGGGTAACTTTTTTGATTTTCTTTGTCTTCAGACTTGGTTGTTTGCAGAAAAACGAAACCGTCGTTCTATGATACAACGTAATAAAAGTTTGAGAAATAATCTCACGTAATACATGTTGTATAATAAATAAACTTTATTTGGTAATAATAAGCTAAATGCGCCAATCTCAGATAATGTAACAATCAATAAGGTACATTCGGTTTGCTAAAAGATACTAAACCTCTGGAAATTAATATTAGCAACTATTAAGCGTCGGTGATTCAGTGTTCAAGCACTTGACTTGCAATCTGCAGGTCCTGGGTTCGAATCCCGCCATGTACCAATGTGTTTTTCGATTTCCGTTTTACATATGTATTACATTTATCCGACGTTCTTACGGTGAAGGAAAACATCGTGATGCAACCTGCACATATCTGAGAAGAAATTCAAAGATATGTGTGAAGTTAACCAATCTGCACTTGGCCAGCGTGGTTGACTATGGCATAATCACCCTTAATTTAGGGTAGGATTCGAACCCCTCGGTGGGGACGTATAGAGAGCTGATGATGATGAATTATTAAGGCATTTTGTTAAAAGAATATCAAATTATTAGGCTTTGTTGCACATAAATGTATACGGGTAAAGTTCCTCAAACAATCGTGTTTGATAAATACGGATGTTTTCTGACATGCGCTCACTGAGACCTAAACAAAAAAGGTTATGTTTAACAAACGTTATATGAATCATTGGTGCGTTAATATACGCTCTGTTTATGGATGAATAAGCCAGTTACGAACACGGCTAGCAAAGGTTAACACGTTCGCTGCTACTAATTAGACGACTTTAAAAAGGAGGAAATCAATTCGTTTTTTTTTAAATGAATTAAAGTGAACTTGCAAGGCGAATGGTACGAGTGCGGAGTGATAAGCACATAAACAAGAAAGTAATGATTAACCGAAGTATGTATAGATTATGTGGAGGTGGATGTGCACAAGAAGGGAATGAATTCAGATATAAGTACCGGCGTTAGATATGGGCACGGTAGCGCAACCACCCACCAGACAGGTCGTGACAAGTCTGCGAATTACAGTATCAGGTAACTCTGTTAACACCCCAAAAGAGAGGACACCGTAGAAATCTTAACCAGGGTGCTAGTAGAGACTAAATCACATACTGATGAATACGTACGATTTTTAAGGAAGTTAAAAAGGTTTGGATGCAAGGCGTGTGGTTGTGAATGTGTTAACTACAGGAAGAATATAAAGATACGTTTGATGTATTTATAGAGAATCCTAACGCCTATCAGTTATTATTAGAGCCCCAACTATGAACTTAATGTTAGTGTGTTCTAATACATTTATTTATAATGCTTGACCACAGTCTAATGGTTTTTAATGATGAATCAGACAGTTATTTTTTTTTAATTATTGCCAGTATGATTTCATAGCTTGGTTTCAAACAGTTTTATAATATAATGTTTATAGGTATTCGGTTTTTTTATATCATAAGGTGGCAAACGAGCGAGCGGTCACCTGAAATCGCTGAAATAGCGAAGTGACCGTTGCCCATAGACATACGCAATTGCATATGCGTTGCCTGCCTTTAATCGACGGAGAAGAGGATGCACGGAAAAAAAATATTTAACCTTTCCATGCCTCCTCTCATCCGTAAAGTCCATTTCCACTTCCCATCCTTTCCTTATAAGAAAAAGGGTGGAAAGGGAAAGAGGACTAAATTAGGCCTCCGGGACGCACACTCATCAGACGAAACGCGGAATAGCTTCCACTTCACGCCTATCTTCTGTGTGGTCGTGGTATTTCACCGGGCGAGCCGGGTCAATTCGTGCGAAGATGTTAAAGCTGGCTCTACCACTGTTAAAAATCTGTGTGATAATTCACAGACGAATTACTTAGAATCCTTTTCTTAAAAACTAATAAAGTGGAGCCAATAGGATTCGTGAACTTAAGTAACAGTTCACCATAAAATAACAAAAGTTGAAACAAAAAGTAAAATTGCAACTTATGATTCACATTCGATTTTTAAATATCTCTGGTTTAAAAATCCGATCTGCGGTTCCTCTGGCATTGCTGATGTCCATGGGCGTCGTTGAACACTTCGGTGTTCCCGCTGCTCGTTTGCCCCCTTCTGTTATAAAAAAAACAGTATCAAACAGATTTCAAAGCATTGAATATATTGAAAGGGACAGTATGAGTTTTTTAATTGCGAAGGTCGCTGAGTGAAGGTGGAACTGATTGCCGGGTCACGCTATACCTGGAGGATTTGACCTTGTTATAGACTTGCCTTTATACTAGGTACGTTTTGCTTCAATGCATCTCGTAATGTGATAGCGCAGTAACACAATACCATCTTTTAACAAGGTTATTGCATTCCTCGGAGATCCTGGAACCCTCTTCAATTGTGAGTCTGGCAACCGAGAGGGTTTTAGTGGGTCAAACCCAAGATAACCCTATCTTCTTTCCAGAAGGTCTATGTTAGATGTCCCCTATAAAGGATGTTTCTAAATACGAATGCGCATATTGCTTCATATTGGAAGTCGTTGCTGTATAATTAAAAAAATAAAAGTTATAATTTAGGTCGATTATATAGGGAAATGGTGAAGAAAAATATACAAATAAAAAAATATCTTATATAATATCGATGAAAATATGGTAAACACATTTTTTGCCGTCTTACGGCTTAAAGAAAATATTGTACAAATAATAAATAAGAAGTCCTTTAACTTTTAATCCTCTTACAGTTTGTTTTTCCTTACTCTTTGAATTATATTTTTTACTGAGAAACTATATACCAAGCGATGTTCACCATATTATATAATTTTATATTTTTTGTTTATTTACATGTTAGTATTTTACACATCATTATAGTAATAATACTAGTGGTAGTAGATACTAGTCATAACATGACTGTTGGTCATTCTTTGACTACCATACAGAGTAATCCGTGAACTCCTCTTTTATAACACAACATCATGACGTAGCCACTTTTAAGTCCTACACAAATACTATTAGTCATATACGCAGTTTCTTTCCAATATACAATATACCTGTAGCATAATATCATAAAATTCTAATTCCTTTCTTACGATGCTGGAAAAAAATAATAAACTAACTTCAGAGTCATTAAATTGTAATTTAAGTGTTTCCCTTAGTGACAAATCAACAACATGCTGTAGCAGTAAAATCATACTTATATTATAAATGCGAATGTTTAGATGTATGGATGTTTAATATGCTTGAAGGGCACATAGGGTATTAAGTATTTCTTTAATTCCGCGGGGACGGAGTCGCGGGCGACAGCTAGCGAGCCAGCTAGTAAGTTCTAATATACGATTCATTAACCTCGAGCTGACAAATATGCCAAGGCTCATAGAACTCTATAGAATTGTCCGGAATGCGATAATTTAGGGGTGTTGTGTTATTCATGGCATGGGACAAAGGCCAAGGTCAATATCCTAAGTATTCATACGTCCCTACACAACTACAGCCTCGCATTCCAAGACATACACCCCTTATAGTGTCGATTTAGTGAATAACATTACACTAAAAGCCCTTCTATGAACTTATAGCTAAACTACTATTAAGAAAAGAAATAATATTAATTCTGATCCTTCGAGTCAGATAAAAATGAGTAAATAACTTTATAAATATTTTCTAAATTCATATTCACTTTAATAACTCGTTAATTGAATTATGTTAAACGAGAAATACATTTAAATGTTTATTTAGCATTAAGTTAGCAAGGAAATAAAAAAATCCTAGCAGAAAGTGTATTGTAGGTTCTTCTCCTAGCTAGTTCTTTAGTGATTGTACTTTGATAGTTATAGGTACTGATTATTTGTTTTCTGCAAACGTTTTACATTTCAATGACGAAGTAATCATTGATGCCAATTGAAATA